GGATTTAATCTGACATTCATATTTCATATATAAATAAACAATAATATATCTATCTTTCTAATAAAAATTAAATTCCTTATAAATCATAACAGAAAGATTATAAAATATTTTAAATTAAATAAAATTATCTATAATCCCTATTATATGATATGAGTTGGAGCTAGATGGGGGGCCAGGGGGGCCCTATGTATATTTATATACTAGTACGGTGCCCGTGCGATGCACGGGAGCATTTATTATATACTAGTATTCGACCTGTGCATTTGCACAGATATAAATAAATTATTGTGAGTATGTACATATAATGATTAATTATTAATAAATTATTGTGAGTCTGTACATATAATGATTAATTATTTTTCTTTCACTTTTTTGCAGACCAAATTTACAATTAAAAGAGTTGGAATATTTTTTTCTAAATTGCGTTTATCTGATTGGATGTAATGTATATTTTGGTACGTCTTTTATTTGTGAATTATTTATTATTTATATAGGAATTCCAAATATATTTTTTATTTTTTAAAAAAAAAATTAAATGTAACAACAATAATAACATCTAATCACATTATATGGTCAACACATTATATAGTCAACTGTCATTAATCAAAAGTTTAAAATAATTTTTGTAATTTTGAAGTGATGAGTATTAATTATTTAATGATTAAATGAAAGATTAAATACATCAAAATGTAACGGTTTTTGGAGGGAAAATTGTTAAATTGCCACATAGGTAAAATTAAATAGGTTTTATTAAATTCTATTAGCTAGTAATTATATATATATATAGATATATATATATATATATATATATTTTAAAAGATATTTTTGTATTTAAATTGTCTCATGCCATTAAAAATTTCATGAAAATAAAATTTATATGTTATTAAACACTTCCTTATATACAACATTATTGATTTGATTCTTTGGCACGTAAAGTACTACATAGGTGTTCGAATTTATCCAAAATTGCATATTAGTTATTAGTTCACAAACTTTAAAAAAATTAAAGGATCTTATTTATTGAATAAAATTAATGTAGAAAAACAGTAAAAATTTTAGGGATTTTCATTCATTATTTATTTTAAATCTAATTCTAAATTTCAATTAAGAAAAATTAAAAAGAATCATTAGTTAGTCCCGAAAATGAAACCGATTTTTTTATCAAACAAATTGATCCAATTTTTTTTTAAACCAAATAAAAAAATCATCAATTTTTCCTAAAAATGAAACCAAATTTTCCTAACATTGCACCAATTTTTGTACCAAACAAATTGAATTGAAAATAATTCTAATAAAAAATTGAAATAAATTGTTAATATTTATGCAACTGTCTCTTTCCTACAGAAAATGATATGAACTTAACCAAAAAAAAAATGATATGAACTTACCAAAATCTCGGTAAAACATGGTTAAGAAAAAACATAAGAATCCAAAAAAATCAATGCATTTAAATTTTGAAAAGTTGCACATAATTTTTCCTAAATAATTGAATAAGGTGACTTTAAATATTAATGATGAACCGCTTTTGTTACCAAAAAATGTGGACACAATTTTGAATGTACATCCCGTCCAAATATCAGTTTTATTTTAAAATAAAAATTGCATGTGGATTTATCCAATTTACACAATTTTTTGAAAGAAAAAATTATTCAATAAGGTTGGAAGAATTGGTTAAGAATTATACAACTATTTGCTTCCTAAATTTGTATCTAATTTCCATGATTTTATATTAATTTGTATTTAGAATTGTTTTCAAAAATAATTGACACATTTTTTGCATAAGAACCTCCAAATTTGTTACCAAAAAAGATATGATTTAAATTTTGGTAAAAAAATAAAATATGATACGAAAAATATGAGATTCAAATTTTGCCATAAGAATCTCCAATTTTGTTACCAAAAAAATAGGAATTAGATTTTGTTACTAAAGATTCAAATGTGTTTTTTTGAACTTTCTATTAATAGTAAGTCAAACATTACATTTATTTGGTCAAACTTTCTATTTATGTTTTTCCAACAACCTCTATATATATATGTATAAAAATATGTATAAAAATTGAAACAATATTTACAATATATTAATAATAAAAACTTTATATTAATAGATAAGGAAAATGCTATAAAATATGTATAAAAATTCAAACAATATTTACAATATATTAATAATAAAAACTTATTTTCTATGCTATTTTAATTTAAATTAATAATATTATTTATTTTTTGAAATATGTACTAACAATCCTTATATTTTACATTTTTAGATACGTTCTTGAAATTATTTATAAGGCTTAATTGCAAATAAAACCATGACCTTTTCGAAATTTGCAATTTAATGCACCACCTTTAAAATTGGCAAATTTATACACCACTTTTACAATTTTTTTGCAATTGTATGCATCGGGCCAAAATCGGGCTTTCCTTGCTGACATGGGCTGGTGACGTGGCGATTTTGCTGACATGGCTGGTGACGTGGCTGACATGTCATTATTTTGCTGACGTAGCGGCTGACGTGGCGGCAAAAGTTATAAACAAATGCAAGGTTCGAACCTATGACCTCTAAGCTGCATTGTGGCAATGAAACCACCACACCATTCTAAGTTATGTGTTGGATTCAATAGCAATTAATATATATGGACACTAAGTACTAATAAACACAATTAAATTAAAATTTTAAAGATAATGTATCTTATATTAATAGATATAAACTTATAATAATTTAAATATAATAAAATAAATTATATAATATTAAATGAAAAATAAATTATAATAAAGTAAGATAGATTATTATAGTACAGTGCATTTAAATTAAATTAAATTAAAATAAATTATTATATTTATTATTTATTAAAATAAAATTAATTATATAAATTTGGAAATAAAAATAATATATTATTTATTATATTATTATATATTTTATTATATAAGATAATATAATATAATATAATATATTAATTATAAAATAATATAAAATAAGATAATATATTATTTATTACATTATATTATTTTATAAAAAAATAATAATGATAAAATTAAATTAAAAAATAAAAAAGATTAAAGTACACAAGTTAAAATTAAGTAAAAATAATAAAATATAAGATAATAAATTATAAAACATGGAAAAATAAAATAAATATAAGATAATAAAATATTTATTTTATTATCATTTTATTTAATATAAGATTATATAATATAAGATTATAAAATATTTACTTAATTTTATTTTACTATTTTATATTATATTATCTTATAAGATAATAAATATACGATAATGATTATTTATTATACTATAATAATAATATTATAATGTATTATAATATATTATATTATTTTTATAATATAATAAATATAAGATAATATAATGTAATAAATAATATATTATCTTATTTTATATTATTTTATAAAAAATATATTATATTATATTATATTATCTTATATTATCTTATATAATAAAATATATGATAATATAATAAATAATATATTATTTTTATTTCCAAATTTATATAATTAATTTTATTTTAATAAATAATAAATATAATAATTTATTTTAATTTAATTTAATTTAAATGCACTATACTATAATAATCTATCTTACTTTATTATAATTTATTTTTCATTTAATATTATATAATTTATTTTATTATATTTAAATTATTATAAGTTTATATCTTATTAATATAAGATACATTATCTTTAAAATTTTAATTGTGTTTATTAGTACTTAGTGTCCATATATATTAATTGCTATTGAATTAACTTGGAATAGTGTGGTGGTTTCATTGCCACAATGTAACCTAGAGGTCACAAGTTCGAACCTTGCCTCTGTTTATAATTTTTGCCGCCACGTCAGCCGCTATGTCAGCAAAATATTGACATGTCAGCCACGTCACCAGCCATGTCAGCAAAATCGCCACGTCACCAGCCCATGTCAGCAAGAGAAGCCCGATTTCTGACCCGATACATATAATTGCAAAAAATTGTAAAAGTGGTGTATAAATTTGCCAATTTTAAAGGTGGTGCATTAAATTGCAAATTTCGAAAAGGTCATGGTTTTATTTGCAATTAAGCCTATTTATAATGATTTACTCTTCCAATCTCTTAATTGTAAATTGATTTAGTGATTATAAAATCAAGTATTTAGTTTGATTGTTACATTTTTTAGTGTTGATTTTTTACTTTTTTTTGTATAATCACATATTGTTGACTTTTTAAAAAAAAAATTGTTCATTGATAAGCTCTGATCAACAAAAATGTTATGCAATGTGCTTCAAATGTTCAACTTAAATCAATTTTTTAATTAAAAAATCTTATTTTTTTTTTCATAAATTATAGACGTTAAACTTAAATTATAAATACATGAAATCTCATTTTTTTTTGTTTATTTTTTTATATGGATTCTAAGTATTTAAAACTTGATGGTAAGCATGCCGATATTTATATTTATAGTAAATGGATTTTATATGAAATGGATGTTTTGACTTAAAATATACAAGCTCGTTATTTAACATTTAAAATTAGGTTTCTCATAATGAAATTTCTAGATCCGTCACTGTTGTATAAGTTAGAAAAATTATACTCACAAAGAACAAACGGGTCTTTATATGTGACGCGATTCATTTAAATAAAAATAACAATACAACTTTTTAAAATGCATGTAAAATTTAAAAACAATCTATTTTTTTTTTATTTTTTGTTTGAAAAATTAAATAAAGTTTCTTAATCAATATCGGTATAAATATTTCATAGAAATACATTACACGGTTAAAAAGAAAATAGGAAAACGACTGAGAGCATGTTAAATAAGGTGTTCTCATCACTGTTGGCACCCATCACTTGTCAAATAATTTACTCATATGGAGCGACTTCTTTTTTTTTTCGATATGGAGTGACTTCTGACTTCTGAGTAACAAATAAACAGATTCCTCTTTTTCTCATACGATCTGGCTTCTTTTTACTCCTTTTTACCACAGAGAAGACAACACACAATTCACTCACAGTTCTCATTTTTTTTTTCTTTTTCTTTTTTGGCTAATAAACTGCTGGGGGCATTTCACTCTTTAACACACAGCCTTCTTTGATGTGTCCCCAAGATTCAAAAAAATCATTCGCAACTTTGCCAGAGTCTCTATAGGTCCTTTTTTAACTGGACTTTTCCCGACTGCTTTTCTATCTGTGCGTTTGAGATTGGTCAAGAGATTTGTGTCACAGTTCTCGTGGCTTGACAGCAAGGTAACTAGTTTAACTTATAATCTTTTTTGTTCATCATTTTGTATTTTGTCTTATGAGCTCCAAATCTGGTTCTTGATAGGAAACATATGGAAATTCTGTGTTTATGAATTTTTTTTTTTTTTTTTTTNAGGGTTTCGGGTGTTTTCATTTTTCTTTGGTTAATCATTGAATACTTTGCCCATTGCTCATTTTTGCTGGATAAAATTGCAGTCTTGCATCTATGATGTTACAGTTAGGAATAAAGAGATTGTGAATTTGGTATTTGATCTGATTTCTAACCTTTTTCAAGGTATGTCCGAGGAGAAAAGTACGGAATATGTAGCCTTTTCCCAAGCTGTATCCTTGGAGCTATGAAGATTGTTCAAAGAATTGCGTGATTTATTATTATAAACAATCATGCCTCTGCCTAAAATAGCATCAAGTGGAAATTAAAGCAAATTCCACTTTGGGATACCAACAATACAGTAGACACACATTTTTCTCATTTTGGTGGGTCGAAATTGTGAGAAATTAATGCTATGTTAAGCAAATGATTTACATGGCATAAAGGGTTTTCATCTTACTGGTATTGGAAGATTTTCTGATTTTTGAACTATGTTCTTGATGAAAAAACATATCTTCGGCAAATAGTCGTGTAACATTTCTTATGGCATCAATTCGAAGAACATTATCTCCTGTCCCTCGACCCATCCCCTTAATAAACGGCGAAGCTTGTCAAGTTGCTTCCCCTCTCTCCAAATCCTCTTCAAATAGTCAAAACTACCCTTCTCATGGCAGCCTTTTCTCTTCCTATGCATTGTACAAAGCCCAAACCTTTGTTCTCGGGCTTTGCTCACAACGAAATTCTCGGCCCTTCGATCGCTCGAAGCTAAAGGGACAGATTTGGCAGAGGGCCTTTCTACATTTCTCGATGTGCTTTCTTGTTGGTACCTTTCTTGGGCTTACCCCATTTTTCCCTATGAATATGTCATCAAATGTTGTCATGCCTAAGCACCCAGATTTGTACTTCGATTTGCCACGAGCTGCTGTGAAAAACGGGTTTTACGGCGGGCAGAAAGCGAGTTTATCAGCAGGCGACAAGATTTCTTCAGCAGAACAAGAAGAAGCGAATTTAGAACATAATAATGGTGAATTCGGGCTTGGTGATTTGCATAATTTTTCGGGCCGGGCTTCTGATGTGACTTATAACAAGCTTCTGATAACTGTGACACCAACGCATGCGGGCCCACTTCAGGCCTACCATTTGAATCGTCTTGCTCACACGCTAAAACTTGTCCCAAATCCTCTTTTGTGGATTGTGGTTGAGATGGATGAACAGTCTGTGGAAGTAGCTGAGTTGTTGAGGGATATGGGTGTTATGTACCGGCATTTAATATGTGTTAGTAAGAACTCGACGGGGATAGTTGACACGAGTGTTCTTTTGAGGAATGTGGCTCTCTCACACATCGAAAAACATCGTCTTGATGGGATTGTTTACTTTGCAGATGAGGATAAGATATACTCGAGTGAGATTTTTGAGGAAATGAGAAAAATCAGGTACTTTTTGTAATTTTTTTGAATTTTTTTGAATTTTTTTTTTTTTTGGTCACCTCAAGAATAGTTTTCGTGTATTGTTATTTCATAATTTTTTATATTCTGCATCGTTATGGAAAAACAAGGGCTAATTATGTCTTTATAATCTCGGTAATCCAATGACAATGCTAGGTTGTAAATTCCTAATCTAGTGTTAGTCCTTTACCTTCACGGCGTGACAATTTTCATTTCTTGATGATTTTGTTCTCTGGTTGAAAATGCAATCTTGCTGCTGTGACTGACATCCAATAGGAGTTTTTGGATTATTTGGTATTTAAGGGAATTTTGGGAATAAATGAATAGTGAAACAACTGTTTGGGACTAATTTGCTTCAGCTTGGAATTCATAGAACCAAAATTGCAGAAGTTCAAAACTTCAAACAACTACGTTTCATGCTTAAGAGGATCGAAATTGCTCGTCCCTTGCAGTAGTAACTTGACTAATGGTGATTAAGCCTGAAGATATAACATTCTTCCAGTAATTATTGTTTTCCCGAATAAGTGTAAAATTCTCTCACATTCTAAGCTAATTGGTAAGTTTATCTGATAAGGTATTTTCTGAATGCAGTCGGTTTGGGACATGGACTGTGGCCCAATTGGATGAAACCAAAGGCAGGATTTTCTTGGATGGTCCAATTTGTAGCAGGTCTCAAGTGATAGGATGGCACGTAGGTGGCATGGCAAAAAGATCTAGAAGATTCCATGCTGACATGGCAGGTTTTGCTTTTAACAGCACTATTATTTGGGATCCAAAGAGGTGGCACCGGCCCACGATTGAATCCATTAGGCTGCTCGAGACAGTTAGAGAAGATTTGCAAGTGAGTTTTGTAGTCCATTATAGTTTGCATAAATAGTGCTAAATTAAGTTAAACTTATACAGGAAAGTCTGATTCCATGCATTGTTTTGCCGTAACCAATGGTAGCTTTGTTGAACTTTCATAGCGTCATTAAATATTTTACAATCACATAAATATCACGAATGACCCTATTTTTTCCCATACTGCTTGGAATTTTTTTAAAAATTTTGAGGGACGTTAATGTGAAATTTAGGGCAAAAAAGTTGAGGTATTCTTACATTTTGGAAAGTTGAGGGCTCTAATTGTTAAAATGCTGGTGAATCAGCCATTTCAACTTGATTGGCGGCAAGTTCAATATATGACATGTAACCTTCAGGTGGTCTTTGTAATTTTCAAAGCATTCTTTTTCTTTGTGAATGTGTGTGATTTAGCCAGATCTCAAGGGTAGTTTTCGTAATTAGCCTAATTTGTTTCTTTTTTTCTTACCAATCAATCCTTCTGCTCCCAGAAAAGAGTATTGTTTTCGTTTTCCACACAAGTATATACTTTGTAAATGAAGACAATATCCAATGTTTCTACTTTACCTTTATTCACAGTAAACCCAAAATTGATCTACTGTTATGAAAGATGTACAGAATTGCATAATTAAATTTGGGTAGGTAGGAAGACCAGAAATATTAGACCCGCGAGCTAACAAAAGGGACAGAGACTATCATTTTGAGAGTCTAATAGAATGGGATGGAGGAAGTAAGTATAATAGGTTTTAGCTATACAAAATGTTACAATCTTGTGGAGCTTGGTAATCAGTTTTCACAATTGATTGGAATCAAACAAGCTTGCTCAGATAATGCATCCTTCAGTGAGAAAAATCGTACATAGATTCTTTAGTTTGGTCTTAGTTAGAAGAATAATTCATGTGATTGAAAGGCCACATCTTGTTTCGATTGCTTAAAATTATTCATTTTGTAGGCAACTTCTTTCGTAGAGCAAATTGTGGAGGACGAAAGCCAAATGGAATGTTTTTCGACAAACACTGCAGGAATCATGGTGTGGGATCATTCCATGGGCCCACATTCGTTTCGTGATAACTGGTTTACAACTGATAGTTGGGGCAATGTTACTCCACTTGAGTGAAACCGGACTAAGGTGACCTTGTACTGTTTTAGAGCCAGTCTTCACTCATGTTGTTTGTGTATGCTTAATTCAGGGAATTGAGATTGATATTTTTTTCAGTCTATATTTTTGTTTTCATTCTATTTTGTAATTGTATTTTTGCAGGGGAGTTTGGGTATTCTCTGGTGCTCCTTGCAGTCTGTAGCTAATGGACTTGTTTTTTGCAGCAAATCTTTTTAGTCCATTCGTTTCCTTTTTTTTTTTTTTTTGTTTTTTAATTGTAAGACAGATGAATTGTATATTGTTCCCTTGTTTCTCAAGGTTAATATTATTTTCTGTATAGCGGCTGATGTGAGATTGTTGTTGGGTGGTGTGTACATACTTGTCTTATGGAGAATGACATAGAACAACACGAATGGAGATTACGAACGGCTCGATCAAACTACGAACACGATCCTCAAACAAACTCGAACAACGAATTCAAACAAATAATCAAAGTCGAGGCATGTGAAACACGCTCTGCTTAAGATGAAATTGTCATTGATTAATGTCTACAGTTTTTTACAAATGTCTCTAAGATACAATTGATAACTTTTATCTTGTGTATAGTGACACTTCAAATACACAAGATTTCGACAAACTTACTTGTGTTTAGAACTTTCAAGAAAATGAAGAAATAATAATTACACAAGATAAACATGAATTATCTTATGTTCTATATAAATTTAATCTTTTAGTTAACTTCTCACTAAAGAACGATGAATGTCAAAGTCATGGAGATTCATAGATGTTATTGGACATCTCTAAGGGATTCATGCGTCAAAATACACCTTCTGGGACGTGTTTGGTCGTCCAACATTGAGTAGGAACTTTTTTTGGAATGAGCAAGTGTATGTGGGTTGCGTGATCGTCGAGCCCGCGATGCATCGTCTCACCAAACTGATGGGCTGAAGCAGGAGTTGCGCCCCCGACGGGGCCTGGCGCGGGCCTATGCATCGGAAGCCCGTACGCGCTCGTCTGGACTCAGAACACGTTCTTTCTTTTTTTTTTTCTACTCGTTCCAACGAACCCTTCTAAAATTCTAGCATACATAATGCATGATTATGACTCGTTTGGCTTGTCCAACCATTCGTGAAAGTAAGAATGTTTGCAAATCCTACAATCTTTGAGTTACTTAAACTCAAATTCACCCACATTTCAACTATAGAATTAACTTTTTATTCAACCTAAAATTGTTTTGAGATTTTCATTTAAGGCGTTCACTTTAAAAAATAGAACCGTAAAATCGATACAAAACTATTTTTCTTACAAGTGTGAGTGGCCTGCACTTTGTGAAAGGACATTTACAATTGAACAATCAAATGTCATTTTATTGAGGTGATGATTGCAAATTTGAGCTTTAGCGCCTTGTATACTTTATATCATCTTTCAAGAGAAGTAAGCCCTACATTAGATCAGGGGTCTTGTTTGTCCTATTTCGGTTCGAGGTGGTAGTTATTATAGTTTTTCATTTTCTGTTTGTGATTCGTTTGTTCTGCCTTTCTTCGTGTGTTTTCTTTGTTTTTGTTTGAAGGTGAGCAGGTGGTTTTTGTCGAGCTATGAACATTCCATGGCGATGTGCATTTCCTAAGCTCTTTTTTTGAGAGTTTTCAGTCCGAAATCGATCCACCGAATTTGTTCATCTATTTTCCGATAGACTTACGTTGGACTCTCCGTCCAGGTAGTACGCGACGTACTTCACCCTCTCAGCCCTTGGGATCTCGTTGAGGTCGAAGTATTGAGTAGCCCGACTCAACCAAGTATCCGGGTCTGTCCCATTGAAGGTGGAAAGGACTAGCCTCCTTTTCGAACTGTGGCCTCCCCCACTTGTTAGATCTTTGTGACCGGTTGTCAGCTTCGCCATCCCTTTTTTCTTGTTTGTCCTCAGAACGTGACCAATCCATCATGGACGATTAGGACCTACCACTCCTCCGTGGTTGTCGTTCTTGTCGATTAAGCTTCTTATTCATGGAGTGGAACATTTGCTCAAGCCGAACCATGGCTTGATTATGATGGTGTTGCCCCTCATCTAGGCGCGTCTCTAGGCTCCCCATCCTATTGTCTATGGCATCAAACTTCTCTCTATTCGTCATGATGAAATAACTCTCGGCTCTCTCCAAAAAATCAAAGATTTTTTTTTTTTTGATATGTGAACAACAAAAAGAACGAGGGAGATGAAGTTGAAGATGATACACGATCATCACTCTCAACGAAAACATCAATGATGAAGATCGTCTATCCGTTCAACTCGATTTGCTTCGAAGGGCGCGTAATAAGCCTTCTTTCTCGGCGATAATTTTGTGCTAAAACTCTCACGAATCCAAACACAGAAAAGGACGATTCAGCTTTTTAATTAATTTTGTTGAACAATTTCGTGCATAACAATGGTAGAACTTAGGGAAAAGCAATAACCAGCCTAATTAGAAATTAACCTCTAGACTTATGGAAAGTAGATAAGCTAGAATCCTAATAATATCTAAAATAGCACAATCCTAATCATACCAAAAATAATAGTAAAAAACATAAGGAAAATATCCTCCAATCATCTAGAGAAGATCATGCATTTGGTCTTCTAGAAGATCTCCAAGACTTGCCGCACAAGCCACTGTAGCCCAGCTCGCCCGTCCAAAAAAGATGAAAGGTTAGGTGAAGAGTGAAAGCCTGAAAGTCGTTAAGAGCATCTCCAATGCTCAACTTTCAACATTAATTAAATTTGAACACATGTCAATCAATGGGTTAATGTTTAATCTACATGAACTGAATGTTAAAAGAATAAGACTTTCATTTGAATTGTTGCCTCCAATGCATCCATTCAACAACCATACAATTTGTATATGTGAATTTATTCAATTATTAATAAAATCAAAGAGTATATTAGAAAAAAACCACAAATTCCAATAATTATATGCATGATGTTATTTTTTGTTGATTCGGTTAATTTTTATTTATATCATCAAATTTATAAAATTATCATTTATTCAATAATTTCTCAGTTACAATATGTATAACCACACAATAAATATTTTTTTAATTGGTTCAAAGTAAAACAACAAAATATTAAAATTGCAATAACTCAACAAACAAATATCATGAACATAATATTTTACTTTTAAGGACATTATTATTGATAAATTTTTTAAATTTTAGTTGTAACTCATCAAATAATTATACTGTATTCAAATAAATTCTCAAATGTTTTATTGGATAAATATAAGGGTGAGATTTTTTCAAGTTTATGAAAAGCTCAAAATTTGTGTCAAATAATTATCAAAATGATGAGTCATCATGTTAGAAAGAATGTGAGAAATTAGAAAGTGAGCTTAACATTAATTTTTTACACATAAGCATGAAATGACCCATAATCTAATGCATTGGAGGATATTATTCACACACTTTCTATCTAAATTAGGTGGATAACTTTTTACCCTTTCAAAAGAATACATTAGAGATGCTCTAAGTCTTCAATTATTTTTCTCCTCAATCCCATCACCTATGCACCTGTACACTTCCCCACACAACAATAATTTAATTAAATTAAAAAATCCTCTCACCTATGCACCTGTACACTTCCCCATGCAACCATAATAGAATTAAATTAAAAAAGAAAAAAAATCTAGCAACCTTCACCTACGGGCTACACCCAACCACTGCCCGATCTGCTTCCATCTTCTATCATCTATTCACTCTACACTTCCCCACGGCCAAAACCATAGTATAGTTAAAGAAGAAAAAAAAAATGGCAACTTCGACCTACGACCCAACCACTACCAGATCTATCTCGATCTCCGGCCGATGCGCACGACCGCTCTCTAGCTCGGGCGATCACCCGCCCACACCGCCAGGGACAGATCCATCGTCTAAAGATGGTTTCGAAGCAATTTAATAGAACCTAAACATTATTCGGTCTGCGTACGCGCCTCCGATGTACTTGGACACATAATACCCTCTCTCAGACTCTCACCTTCCACCTCTTTGCGGTTCAATTTTTTTTTTTTTTTTTTTTAANATCCCGCCCCGCTATTATGCGGGCTTTGGCAGGCTACGGGCCAGCCCGCCCCGTTAGTCTGTTTTGACAGCTCTACTCATTATCATTGATTTACATTCGAGGCTCCAATAATAATTACTCGAATTAGCTCCCCACGTTTAAGATGTAATATACGTTAATTGCTGATAATCGTGAACCGAAGCTAGTACCACTCAAATCATTATCATTATGTCGGAACTTAGTCCACCTGCAGAGTTTAACATAATAATTTTTCATGAACTCACTTTGAGGACATCATCAGAGTAATGCACATGGTGACCGTAAATATTTGAACAACACACCATGCATGCAACATCACTACCCAACTCACCAAGACTATTGGCCCAGACAGAATGAACCTCATCGTTGGGTGAATCAAAACAATGTCTACTACATATATGTGCATGTTTATAACTTAGGGGTTATTAAGAGAACCCAGTAATTAATCGAGGCCTAGTTCGTTTACGACGATCAGTATAAAACGAACTGCTCCTCTCTGAGATTCGTTCTACTAGTGTAACTAATCAGTCAAGGCCAACCGTATAGCTGACACTATAACTATTCCGATGGTTTGTTCATTGCCATCTAAGTTGTGAACCAATTATTTATATTTCACAAGTGACAGATAACACTACTAGAAATTGGTGCATCAGTAACCAAAATTTGCAACTAAATTTTAGTTGTTACAATAGTAACAATGATTTAGATACGAAATATACTTTCAGAAACGGAATATACTTTAAACCATTGTATTTGTATTAGTAACTAATTTTGTGAATAACTCTCTATGTTACAAATACATATAGATGGTTTCCATTTAAAGATTTAAAATTGTAGCATATATAATTTTAATATAAAACATAAATGCTTGAACACTAGAGGTTCAACTAGTTTGAGAAAAATGCTTGAATTGGACTAAATGAGCTAAACTCAATGCTCCACTTTATTATCTAAAAGTTCAATTAGTAGATCATTACAACAAAAAGGAGTTCTAACTCTATAAATATGGTGACTTTTTTAATAAGTATAATTAAAATTGATGTGTTTGTGATGCTTTTTAAAAAGCATTACAAAAATAAAATTATAACAAACCGCTCGTATTCAGTAAAAGCTCATTCTTTTGTTAATAAAGTCAAGATCGAAAAGAAAACTATGTTCGTTTAATAATTGAACAAACTCGAGCTTGTTCGCAAACGTTGACTGAACAT